GGGGGGGGGGGGGGGGTGGATTGTGAGATCTCACGTCGGTTGGAGAAGGGAATGAAACACATTCCTTATTAAAGTGCGAAAACCACTACATAACGAGTCAAAACGGACAATATCTGCTAATGGTGGGGTTGGTCCCTGTGTAATACGTAACGAGTCAAAACAAACAATTTGTTAGTAGTGAGCTTGGACCGTTAGACAGATGGTCCAAATCGATTCACTTACGAACATTTTAAAGACCCGATTTCCTCAATGCCATAAACTTCTAAGTTTTCCTTTTTGACATTAACACATGAGCTTCAAACCTTTTTCACAACACAAATCCATAAAGAAACATGGAAAGCGAATTGGTAGAAGAACACGGAGTTTTAACTGAACCACAAGAAGATGACAGCCAAATTCCATAGTAGAAGATCAACATTAGCTTCAGAATACAGCCATTTTAAGCAACAAAACAAACACAAAACACATCATGGCACACAAGAAAGGGTAATGATATAGAAGAACTAAACCTTTTCGAACGTACCCGACGTTTTCCTCAGCTCGTTCTCTTTCGTCTCATCAACTTTCCGCCTTTTTTATAGCTTCCAAATTTCTGAAACCCTTATCGGTTCCAAATATCCTGCCGATCAAAGAAGCCGAAACGTTATTATCGACGGTGTTTTTCTGCTATTTCCATGCATAGAAATGATTGATAATCCATGAACATGAACATGCAAAAACGTGAAATGCATATAAATATGACTTTCCCATATGAAAGTTCCATGTTAGCCATTCAGATGATCGAGTAGAGAGCAAGCTTCGTGTTCTCGGTAGCCCACTCTCTTTTTACATAGCCAACTAGTTGGTGTACTCTTCCTCGACGCTAACCCGATAAAAATCAAGCCCTTTGTCTAAAAAAGAACGGTTAAGGGGATCCCCAATTTTGATGAAATACAAGATGCTCAAGTTTCAGGTAAGACGGTAGCGCAAAGGAAGCTCAAGGGCTTGTTATGGAAGGCGGCAAGGGATGGGGGTAAACTGAAGGGCGTTTTCTAGTCCCCCTAAGCCGGGTGGTGTTTGTGTGTGGGGTGTGCCACGATGAAACAAAGGAATGAAAGGCCGTTGGAAGCTCTTTACCCTCCCCGTAATGAGGGCTCGGTAGCCTTGGGGAGCGTTGAAGCAACGCTCCGTTTTTTTCCAGAGTTTGATTGGTCATCAATAGTATCAAAGGATAGGAGAAAAAGTGACCAAAGAATGTGGCGTGCATTCGTAACTCAACCATCGTCATCTAGCTATTATTCAAACAACCCCCTTGCTTACCGACACTTACTACACAGATCAACCGTCGAGGAAATAGTCGTGAAACTATTGAATGAATGGTAAATCAATGTTCCACAAAGCGGGTTTTAATGCTATGAAGCTCAAACCAATAACGTAATAAACGATTCAACCTTTTTCGGACCCGAACTTACCAGTCCATGTAAGTGAACGTCGACGAGTAGTTGCCAGATTTTGTATAAAGCAGCCGGTGATGATAATCATGAAAGTAAGCACTGTGGAGAAAGAGCAAAGCTGATTCAGGAACAACAGATAAAGAGCAAAGTATTCCTTTAAGACATTACAAAGCCAAATCAACTCACCCCCCATACAAAGGTATGAAGTTTGAAGGGCTCCAAGGAAAATCGTAACCACAATGAGCCTCGACCGTCTCTAGCACTCGAAGTACCATCCATAACCACAGAGTCATTAGATGGGGACCGGTAAGAGCAGGACCGACAATGGTTGCGAATCCGAGGAACAGGATCTCGGCAGGGTGAGCATATTCTGATGTTAGTCCAAAAGGGGTAGCGTATCTGCACATATAAGAACGATAAGACAGCCTAAGACGATTTTATCATGGAAGAAGGCAGCATATCCATGAATTTTCATTCGTAAATCTCGCTTACTCGTGATGCACGCTGTGGACGTTCTTGTACAGCCATTTGGTGTGTAAAATTCTATGCCCCCAGTAGAAAACAAAATCCTCCACAATAAAGTAAAATATTATCTGGCCGAAAACGACTTTCCTACATGAATGAAACGCAAACCAAATTAAATTCTTGAAAAGGTAATGATATAACCCAAGATAAGGAAAATGTAACGGTCCGAGCCCACCCCGCTAGCACATATTGTCCTCTTTGGACTTTACCTTCCGGGCTTCCCTTCAAGGTTTTAAAACGCGTCTAGGAAGAGGTTTCCACACCCTTATAAAGAATGTTTCGTTCTCCTCCCCAACTGATGTAGGGTTGTAACAGCCCAAGCCAACTACTAGTAGATATTGTCTTCTTTGGGCTTTCCCTTTTGAACTTCCCCTCAAGGTTTTAAAACGCGTCTACTAGGGAGAGGTTTCCACATCCTTATAAAGAATATTCCGTTCTCCTCCCCAACCGATGTGGGGATGTAACGGCCCAAGCCCATCGCTAGCAGATATTGTCCTCTTTGTTTTAAAATGCGTCAACTAGAGAGAGGTTTCCACACCCTTATAAAGAATGTTTCGTTCTCCTCTCCAATCAATATGAGATTGCACGAAAAAAAAAAACATAAACTAAACCCAGCTAGATAAGACTCCTAAAATATATGCTTTAGAACATAAAGAACCTGAAGATACCAGGATGGCAATGGAAGAGTGCTTCTCATGCCCATACGTTTGAACACCGGATACGAAACGATCATAACGGGCAGATTTACACCAAAGTGATAAAGCAGTAGGCGCGAAATACATTTTCCTTGAGCAGCAGGACTATTATTCTTAGCCTGAATAAAGCAGAAAAAATTAACCCATAATTAGTCGAGTTAATTACTCGAGCGATAAAACTCCATTGATAGGTTCTTTGCCTGCATCCACAAGTATCAGCTCAAGAAGCAGTGATTTTCTTTTCTTTTCATATC